TTAGGACACATGTAAAAAAAATCTTAAACACCCTTTTAAATTTTAGCTTTCTTGATGAACTCAATACATATAATTTTCTATTAAATTAATTTTTCATAAAATCTCATTATATTATAAGAATTATATTATAAAAATAAAAATATTATAATTACAATGTCATGTGGCATTGTAAGCTAATACCTTGTTGTATTTTTATATAATTGACTTTTTTATTTAGAGAGTTTACTCATGGTATCGTATGTATATATTTATTTAATGATATGTTATACTCGTTTAATGCTCTATAAAATTATAAGCTTATAATTTTACATGATATTGTGATAAAAATTGTTAAAATTTTTTATAAATTTTGAATAAATACTTAATAAACCTTTTAAAATCTCTCTAAATTGTCAAATAAATACCTAATGAACCTTTTAAAGAAAATCCATTGAGGAAGGTAAAGCTCTCGATTAAATTAAATGCATACATTTTTAAATTTCTTGGTGAGCATGAAACATATAATTTTTATTAAATTAATTCTTCATATAATAATATTTAATAACACTTTAATTATATTAAACATCCTACTAATTATTCCTAAATTCTATTTCAATTACCAAATAACAATCTATGTTTTATATCTACATATTAATATCGAAACAACTTACCTAAATATATATATAATTTGATTTTTATTTCAATTATGTAATTTGTTTAGTATAAATACATATTATATTATATTTAAAGTGACACTTCACAAATTGATTCTCATTTACTTTATTTTTCTAAGACTAAGGGAGTAATAATTGAGATGTAAATAATTTTGAATAAACATATTTCTAAATAATGATTATGAGTAGCTACAAATTATAGTACATATATTGATGTGTATCAACTTGATAATAATGACTATATATATTAGCTTAAAAAACCCATTTAACAAGTAGAAAATTTTTGTGTAATCGAGACAATATTGAATTATAAAACATAAACTATTAGATGAGAAATGGCCCTTAAATATGATTTTTTTTAAAGAAGTACAAAATAGGTTCTAAAGGAACCTAGCTCCTTAGTGTAAGCAGGAAGTAAGAGCACTTACAAAGAACTTAAAAGTAAAGAAATAGCTGTATAACAAACTTTAAGATGTTTAGATATTTTATTTATCAAAAGACTAAATTAAATCACCAAAAAATTATAAAAATAATAAAGTAAGAAGTAAGAATCCTTAAAGGCTCTTAATATATTCAACAAGATAAAAGTTAAAAGAATTATGCACACAACAAGAGAGAGGGGTAAATTTTATATATAATAATAAATCAAAAAAGTGTATTAGAGGGTGGACTATAAATATACTTAAATACTCTTAGTAAAATTAGTTTTTATATTATTTTATTAAAGATATTTAAGTAAATTTATAGAGGCAAACTACACTTTTAATATATAATCTACCTTATAAAACATGAATTTCATAATAAATAGAGATGCATGAGTAACTAAGGAAGAATAATATTGAGGGAATAAGAACAAGCAAAATGAATGAAAAATTAATAACAAATAAATTATTAATATATTGGGAGAAAATAAATGTAGATAAATATAATTATAAAATGTGAGAGAATAAGTTAAAAGAATAAGACCCAAGAAAAATTAATGAAGGATGGAGTGTATG